TGGTTTTCGCGTTCAATCGCCGATAGTCACCAGTTGGACGCCAATCGTTGCTGTCCTTTTTAGGGACCATGTGCAACGGAGATGCATATGGGCTACTTGACGGTCGTATGATTCCTAAGTCTATCATGTGATCGAACTCGTTTTTCGCTAACCTTAGCTTTTCAGGAGCTAGTCGTCGTGCTTTAGAGAATACAGGTGGTCCTGTAGTCGTGATGTGATGTGTAACGTTGCTGGTTACACACGGTAGTTTCGGTTGGGTTTGTTGTATCCCAGGATACTTATCGAGTAGTGGTTGATAAAGTGGGTCTATCGTATGCTTAATTGTGACTGGGGATAATCTGCAACCAGTAAAAGAAGTTACGCAAACGGATAAATTAGTGTTTCCGTCTACTAGCCTCCGTTTGCGCGTATCGATGATCAGATTATGGTGTTGTAGAAGGTCCATACCAATGATTGGCATAGAAACATCTGCAACAACGAAGATCCAGTGAATGGGTTTGCGTAAACCCACGTTAAGGTAAACGTACCTTTTGCCATACGTAGCGATCGGTTTTCCGTTTGCCGCCTGTAAGTTTAGAGCCGATTCGTGAAGCCGGTCGTTAGGATTTGCTGGGAGAACGCTAACTTCTGCGCCAGTGTCGACGAGGTAGCGAACTCTCGTTGTCACATCTGTGACGTATAACAGACGGCTATGTTCGCCGGCTACGGTTGCCGTTAACGCGTGCCGGCTTGGAAGTTTCCCGAGTTGTTTTTCGAGTCAGTCGGTTTCGTGTTGGGAAAATTGCAGGGTTTTCTGCAATTTCTGGAAGACTTTCCATACTGGTTATGATACCAGCACCAGTCGGGGTTATCCGTCTCTCGTGGTCTAGAGACAGATCGCTTACGTGAAGTGCTTCTACATGGGGTGTGTGATCGCTTACGGTCGTTACGAAAATTAAGATAACGCGTAAGTGTATGACATAACTCGGTTATGTCATTCTGAGTCGTTTGAGGCTTTTCTTTGACTGAAAAAACCTCGGTAGTAGAAGATTTCGTAATTTCTAAGATACGATCGGCAGATGCAGCCAGTTCGTCTAAGGCGTTGTTCTAAAACGAGACCAGAACCGCTTGCACCTGTTGGGGAAGTTTAAACAAGAAAAGTTGTTTGAATAGGCCTTCGTCGAAAGTTCTTGGGCCTATAACCTCTCTCATCCTTTGCAACATGTCAGTCGCAGAACTGTGTTGCATGTCTATGTAATTAAAGAGTTGGTCTAACCTTTGTCGGTCGGTTAGGTCTCCTCGTTTAAGAATGGAACGTTTTAAGGTTTCGTACGGCTCAGAAACATCACTGATAAACATACTAGGTGTTACGTACCTGTTGAATTCGCGCGGTAGTGCCTTGACTACTGCGAGGAACTGTGCACGTGTGTCGTTCACGCCGTGCTCGTGGAAGTCGGCTTCTGCGTAGCAGAACCAGGCTTCGATATTATCGGGCCAGAAGGGCATGAGGTGAAACGAGGGTGGGGACATGATCTTAATCTTAAATAACTTGAGGGTCTGTTCAGTCATAGGGGAAAATTAAGTACGAGAATACACGAGTGAAAAATATATAGATATCCAGAAACGCGGGAAAAAATATCACATTGTATAAAAAATTAAAATAAAGCAATGATATGTAGAATCCCAAAATGGAACAGACTCACAGTTTACGATTTGGTGTACCAGATCACGTCAGGCTCACCGATGAAGATGGCCCAGGTATTCAGTGTTTGACAACGCCTTTACCAGTAACACCTTCTAATATAACTCGTACCCACCAAGAGAAATCAAAAGACAGAATCGAGGAGATCAGAAGTTGTATTTGACGATTGCCAATATATCGGAATTGTCTGATCTAGTCTGGCTAGCAATTGCAGTAGATGTTGAGCACGACGTTCCCACACGTGATCTGGTGCGGATGCATGACCGAGTGCCTTCAGATAGGTGAGTCCACTAAAACATGTGGTCAGCATCCAATGTCGAAAACTTACAGAGCTATTTATTTTGGGGATTTATTTACCGCTACACAACTAATTCGAGATAACTCTCAACAACAGGTTCCAAGCCTTACGGAATCTACTCAACAAAGAGGAATCTACCATGGAGGACATCTAGAAATGAATCGACGAAGCACTAACTTCAACGTGTCAGAAGGTTCTGTGTCGCAAAAAGCATCATCATAAGTAATGGATCTCTACCGAAACACTGGACAAGGTTCAAGAAAGGAAGAATGAGAAGACAGTAACAAACAACAACTGAACAAGAATAGAAAACGTCAAGGCACAAGCTGAATACACTGAAGCTGACAAACAGGTGAAGAGGACCATTAGAGCCGACAAGCAGAAATATGTAGAAGACCTGGCAACGACGGTGGAAAAAGCTGCAAAAGAAGGGAATATGGAACAACTATATGACACAAAAGAGAAACTAGCAGGGAAATATAGCAAACCAAAGAGACCGATCAAAGACAAGGAGGGCAAGCCAATCACCGGGATCCAAGAACAGAGGAATAGTTGGACCGAACACTTAGATGAACTCTTGAATAGACCAGCTCGATTGAACCCATCGGACATCGAGGCAGCACACAGCCATTCCTATAGATGTTACTTCACCAATGATCGAAGAAATCAAGATGGTCATCAAAAAAAATCAGAAGTGGGAAAACAGCAGCATCTGACAGTTTATCAGCTGAATCACCAAAGTCAGATATGGGAGCAACTGCAAACATGCACAACGTTCTATTCAGAAAGATTTGGTAGGAAGATTAAGTGCCACCGACAGAATGATAACAAGGTTATTTCATCAAGATACCAAAGAAACGAGATCTGAGCAAATGTGAGGACTACAGATGCATCACACTAATGTCGATACCAGAAATAGTTTTCGACAGAGTGTTGATGAACCAGATGAAAGACTCAGTGGACGTCCAGCTTCGAGATCAACAGGTCGGATTCCGTAGGGGTCGGTTGTGCACAGACCAAATCGCGACACCATTGATCATCGTTGAGCAATCGACTGAATGGAACTCATCACTATACATCAACTTCCTTGTCTATGAGAAAGCTCTTGACAGTGTGGATAGAAGGACATTATGAGACCTTCCTCGACACTACGATGTACCTGAGAAGATCGTCAACATCATAAGGAATTTATACGACGGACTACAATGCGAAGTGGTGCATGGAGGACAGCTAACAGACGCATTCCAAGTGAGGACCGGAGTCAGACAAGGATGTTTACTCTCACACTTTCTCTTTCTTCTGGCGGTTGACTGGACTATGAAGACCTCCACATCTGAAGGGAACACGGAATACAACGGATAGCTTGCATGCAACAAGACGATTTGGACATCTCAGACGACCTGGCCATCCTATCCCATACACATCAACAACCGATGCAGTGGCAGTCTCTGCATTAGTAGGCCACAACATACAAAATGGATAAGCCAAGATCCTCAATATACAACACGGAGAGCACCAACACAACCAAACTTGATGGGGAAACTCTGGAAGAAGTGGAATCTTTCGTATACCTGGGAAGCATCATCGACGAACAATGCGGACCTAATGCAGACGTAAAGGCAATGATTGGCAAAGTAAGGACAGCTTTCCCACAGTTAAAGAACATATGCAACTCAAAATAACTGTCAACCAACATCAAAGTCAGAATCTTCAATATGAACGTCAAGACAGTTCTATTGTACCGAGCTGAAACGTCGAGAACTACCACAAACATTATCAAAATATACAGGTACTTATAAACAGTTGTCTACGTAAAATACTCAATGTCCGTTGGTTGCATACCATCGGCAACAGCATACTGTGGGAGAGAACGATCCAGCTTCCAGCTGAGGCGGAAATTAGGAAAACACGTTTGAAGCGGATAAGACACACATTGAGGAAATCACCAAACTGTATCACGACGCAAGTGACAACTTGGAATCCTGAAGGGAAATGGAAAAGAGGAATGGCAAAGAACACAGTGAGTTGGGGATTGGAATTAGCCATGAAAAGGATGAATAGCAACTGGAAAGAAGTGGAAAGGATTAACTAGGACAGAGTTGGATGGAGTATGCTGGTGGGTGGCCTATGCTCCTCTATGACGTGAAGCAGGCGTAAGTAAGTAAGTAGGTAGGTAAGCAAATAAGTGAGTAAATAAGTAAGTAATGAAAATGGATTCAGTTCAGAAAGATTCCTTTTCATCTTCTGTCATCTTAGTAAACCAAATTATTCAACAATTCCAATTTATTTACATATTTTCTTCACAATTATTTAGCCGAAATAATTTGTTTCGACCCGTGTTTCTCCAGTAAGTGGTTTATTAAGCTTCAATCATATTTTGAACAGTACTACAAATAAGGTCCTCAAATAGTTTGATTAATTCAAGATATCTATTTTCTCATTTCATGTCAGTAACAGACCTTCACACCTTCTTGGTATATTAGAGGGAGTGAACATTATTCATGAGGTAACGTGGGTGGTTATTTAGAGATCGGGTTGATCATCCACTCTGGTTAAACCGGTGAAGATTGAGGTAGTTAACTGACTCATTTTATCCTATTTTACAAAACTCAACATCCAAATATGATTAGTTTAACACAGTATAGTTCTGATTGATAAGAAGCTACATATTTCTTTGATGATTTTGATTATTACCCTAAAGAAGTTCAGACAAATTAGCTGGACGAAACGTTGGAAGTATTTAAATTTCAATCGCTGAGATTATTTCAAATATAATTTTCACATATAATGCGGTTAGTAATGTTTACCAAAAAACTTCAAAATAATCAGGCTACACCTTTACTGCCTTTGGTTACTACAACAGATGGTTACAATTCATTGGTCTAGAAAAGAGCGCATACAGACAAAATTGGTTGAGTGTCATCCCCCCACAAGATTTCCAAGTAGTTTAATTGGATTAGCAATGGAGTTTTAGATTTATGACATTGTCAACCAGTTATGTATAACGGTGATCATTTGATATTTCAGGTACACCTACGTTGTATTTATTGGCCAAAATCAAGACAAAGTCAGCTCATCGACATGGATTTTATATTTAAGTAGTGAGTCTTTCTTGGCTGACTTGTTAGTTCGATAACTGGTTCTATTGTTTCATTTCACTGTATTGCGTCAGAATGGTCAAGTGAGTGGACTCTTACTAATATTATATAACGTTTTCGTAGTTCATTATAATACTTACCATTTACTGTACATGATCTTTATTTATGCTTTAGCCGAGCAGAGGCTGCACAACTCTTGAAGCACCTTGATAAAGATAAAAGTGGGAAAATTAGCTCAGTAGAGCTAATGGAATTTTTGAAGAGTGTTAACTGTCCATTCAATAAAGAACAAGTTGATAAGTTTATTCGTCAGCACGACAAAGACGGAGATGGACAATTAAATACTGATGAACTCCTTGATGTTTTATGTTCATAATTTCTTAAATTTTTAGTAGTGTTTCTTTCATAAATAAATAGTATTTTAATTTCACAACAAAGAGTTTATAAGACTTCATTTTAAAACGGGTATTTTCTGTCGATTTGTTTTCTTTGAAAAAACGTCTGTTATTTGGCGGGTAGTATATACCAGGTGGTTTATTCGGAATACATTTTCGTCACATGTACTGTAAAATGCTGTTTTTTTATGAAACCTTCACAATTCTTCACGTTAGAGGGTATATGATGATATATTTCGGTCTGTTACTCTTGAATTATGTCCTACACCTCTCGAGTACAATGTACACGTTGTAAGCTCTCATAACAACAAGGACAACTTACCTTTTATGTACGTAGTACGCGATGAAAAAGCTGAACCTGAATGCCAAGGTACATTGTACGTCTGTGGGAGGTTATTTCTTATAATTTGTATGGATTCTAAAGAGTTTAAGTACACGTTATTAACAGATCGGTCTACTTAAGCCTCATCAATTTCTTGGATATTCCGAAGCTGTGAATCGAACTAATAAGTTGTTGATTATTGTTTCGTGTCGAACGTTTTGTCATATGCGTATAATTTTCGAACATTTATAAATAGTCATCTTAGTCACTTGTTACTTGCCAATACCTCATTGTACAATGCTTCAATCATGTAGTAATTACATGTGTTCTGTTCTTTAATATAAATAATCCACTGATTATTTATTCAGGTCTAATTATCCTTCCCTCTGTTTTGCTGTTGCTATCCTGGCTACTGACAGATACTCTAATTTTGTATTTCTCATATATTTAAGAAGACTATAAACTTTTCAGGTTAGAAGTGATCGAAAACTGGATATTTTTAATTTCGGAGTTATTTAGATATAGGAAATTCGTTTCTATGTCCAGTCTGAGAATCATTGGTTTCGTGAAGATATATGATAAACTATTTACTATTTTTCACTCACTTAGTGAACAGTTCATCGTAATATTTGATAGAACACAACTTTGGTTTTCACATGGTAATTTTAAATCATTAACTAGAGTCGAATTACTTGCAAACAGAATCTCATAAATGCGCAAACGCTACGGCGTTTAGAATACATATCCGCCATCAAACATTGAGTTTACATTGTACAGATGAATAAAATTTGTGTAAGAATAACAAAGAAAAAATGTCGTAATTTTGGAATACTTGCTACTTATCAGTGATATGCACTTTAATCCTGTTATCAATAATAGAGAAAATACTTATTTCTAAGTAGTTTTCAATCATGCACGCGTCCATTGTGTGATTTTTATATGCAAATATATCGATTTAGAAATGTAAATAACCATGCAAGTACAACATGGTAGGTCGCGTCACAATTGTCAATCAGATAAGTAAAATTTCAGGTAAGAAATATGCATGACCTTTCTTTAGAGTGTTATTCATATAATCAAAAGAATATATATATGTAGTAGTGCAGCATTTACTGAGAAACGATAAAATCATTCAAAGTAGAGATGTTCACATTATTGAAGAGAACTCATTCCAATCATTAAACCTTAATGATTATTGTTATTGTTTATTATATACACTGTATAAACGAAAACTTCATTTTTAAAGTCACTTTGAAACTATGACCATATCAAATAGCATTATAGTAAAATATATTAAACAGTGTGCATAGACAGAGTTTAAAAAGGCTCTCCATGACAATCGTGTTACAATTCAAGAATGAAGAACCATGTACCTATTTATATTCGATAATTTTGTTGTTTGATTATATTTTCCTTGAAAAAGCCTGGACCAGACTGCCAGGCGAAACGTTGGATTTACTTAAAATTCATTCGCTGAGATTTTACAAATATATTCTTCTTTTTAATCTTCTATATACCTAGAAAGCGACTGATAGAAAGTCCACGCTTGGTAATTCAGTGTCTATTATTCTTTAGTTCTTGGATTAAGAAACTCTTTACCTTGGTAAATGATTCACATTATTTTATGAGACTGCTTAAATTAAAACTTAACTGTGCTGATGCGCTATTTCTATTATTTTAAAAAATCAATCACTTTTACAGCATTGCGACTCTTTTGTTGGAATCCATTTTTCAAGGCGAAATGAGTTTATTCTACATCTAACTTCTTTTAACGTGTACTAGTTTATGCAATACAAACTCTTTCATAGTATGCTCAATTTTTAACCTGCTAGTTCTATGGATTATTATGATCATTAAAAACATCTGTAGTTGTTTAGGTTCATTTGTGAGTTCATTGTAAAGTCCCGTCAAAAATGTTTATACTTTTTGGTAATAAAAACTTCTAATTTCACTACAGAGATTCACTAAAATGTACTTAAAGCAAAATAGCATAAATTCCATCACTAAAGTTTTGTTTTGTAAAATATATGCGTATATTCCTCATTTTGTTACCATTAGTAAATAAGTAAACACAACTGACACTTGTTAAATGTTCACGAAAAGATGGTTTTTAGGTTGTACCATAACTTTACATTCATTTACTATTGGTTCATATGAAATTATATTTTCCTTGGAATAAGCAAATAAAGAGCTTTTAGTGCCAGTGAAATGTCATTGGGCTCTATCCAAATCATTCGGCGGTCGGGTCACTGAATGTCGAACAGTTCGCCGATCCTTGTCAAGTTTAAGGACAACCAATGCGCATCAATTAATTGCACTACATGGACTGGTCCATATTGTGGTTGTCGCAACTTCTCCTTTGTACTTACTTTTACTGATACATTTGTGTAATAACGTCTTTTTTGTTATACGGTCTTAAAAGAAGCCATAGTATCTTGATACGACGAAAGGGTAATCCATGTTAAGTGCTGACTATGAAAGGTGACTTCGAAGTTAGCTGTTGGTCATACCATTCCCACCTAACTTGAGTTGGCACCCAATCATTTCGATCATCTACGTTGGTAATCTACAAGCTCTTCTTAATCATTTTTTATAAGCTGTTACCATTTGGATGCCATTTAGTAACACGATAATTATCAACATTTCAGCTTTACACATAAATAGGTAATGTCAATATTTCATAAAATAATCAGACAAAATGATTCCAGTTTAAGTTATTAATGAAAAATTTGATGATTCACCTCATAGAGCAATTAAAATGTTAATTGTCATACACTATCTCTAGGTTTTTATTCATGAAAATCAAGTCTCTTTTGATTATTACCCTGAAGAAGTCCAAACGAGTTAGCTGGACGAAACGTTGGAATTATTTAAATTTCAGTCGCTGAGATTATTTCAAATATAATTTTCACATATAATGACTTCTCTATACTCGGTGCCCCATTTCTGTCCAACTATTCGTTCTAATCTTGACGAATATTCGTATAAGTCTCTTCATAGTTTGCTTAAAGTATTTTTGTGAATTGAAAATCATTCTATCACTCTGGAACATTAATAACTGTTGATTATATTTGTTGGTTATTTCGCGTTGTTATTTCAGCAACACTAACTCCTTGATTTTGAACACAAGACTTAAAACTCTTTGAGTTTATCCTGAACAAAACAAAGGAGTCAATATTTATGAAAACTATTTATCATCAAATTTGTTAACATGATCCGTTCATAGGAAGATTTAGTGAAAGCAGAATTAGAAAAACAATAACTATAGTTGACAGTCAACTTTATTCATTATGAAATTTCTCCATTATATATAATTGTTAAATGTACTGTCATTCCAATACAAATAATAGAGTTCATCAATCAAATCAATATTCAACAACCGTAAAATTATTGAAAAACATATATCATGTTTATTAACCTGTTACTACAGTGATCACATGAATGTAACCTGAATTTTCGTTCCAAGTTATTTTTTATCGACAATTAATGACCTCCCTTATTTTCAGTAGTCACTATTATTGGACAGAACTTTTCATTGGCTTTATCTAAATCTAAATTAACACTGTAACTAACTAGAATGATTAGTTTTATTACTACGATAAATTAAAAATTTTGGAAACTATTTACTGCTTATTTTTCTCAGAGTATGTAATAAATATTTTACAAAATAACTATTCTATAATTCAGATAAGTGAATCTAACTTTCTAGTAGGTAGGACACGTTTACCTTTTTAGAGTAAGAGAAAGTGAAGCTCGCTAATAAAAAAGATATTTCTGTCAATAGAGATGGATGGTGGTTAGCATTGGAATCGAGGATGTGCGTTTCGCCTTAGTCGGGACTCGTCAGCTGGATCTTACTGCTTCCCAGAGTTGATGTTTAATCCGGGACTCGAAACCAGCACCGTTCTCTTCAACCATCATAGCGTTACTTAGTCAGTGGTTCGTACAACAGAATAAAGTTTAATTCATTTGCATTGGTTGTTTGAACCTTCTCACTGATGGTTAGGATGGCCAAAAAGAGACTGATCCATAGCAGTCCAAAATATCAATGGTAAAATTCAAACGAAGAATACAAATAAATTAAATATATCTATAGCTGTAAAGTGATCATAATAACTCTAGTAGGAAAACTCCGTTAAGAAATTCGCTCACTAACCTGGATTATGTATAGCCATTACTTAGTTACCTTACTGTTACTAGGTGATAATAGTTCAGATTTTCTCAGATAATTCAGTTATTTAACTCAAATGAGATATTTAGTTGAATAATTGGATCTGGTCACTAAGACAGTATGGTTTAGATGCTGGTTTATGTGACTACTTGAAATACAGAAAATGTAAGTGAGCTAGAAAAATCAAATACTACTATGGAGAATGTGAAACAAATTTTCAAAACACATGAAAGACTGTGAGTGAAATGTAATTCATGAGTGGTTGAGGTATCGTTATACATGTATCCCGAAGTCAACTATTCTTAATTATTCCAAAGGAGATACAGCACCATGCAAACCGTCTTCTTCACATTACTGCTTCATCAGAACTACGTGAAGTTGTAAACAGTACTATGTGAACATAATTAGTCACTGATATAATGGGATAAGAACGGAAAATCACTTTCTATTGTTCATTGTGATTTTTGGTCAACATTACTTCCGTGTTTTTTAATTCACTGCGTTAATTATTCAGAGTAATATTTGTGTTTATTTGACAGTGTGAT